TCATTATACAGGAATACAATTGGGAAAATAAATAAAATAAGATATTTTGTTCAACAAAAACTAATGAAAATTGTTTATAATATAAAATACATTTAAATTTAATCATTTTTAGAACGTTAATTTATTTAGAACACTACAATAAATAGAACTCGGTTAATAAACGGATAATTACGTATTGTTTTCCGTTAATCGCACGAGTCGAGTAATAATTGTTTTCATATTAATGTCACTAATCTTTATGAAATTTTCTTTTGTATACCTGTCTGTTCTGTAAAGCGAATCCTAGTAAATTTTTCGTTTCAAAACGAATTCTCATAATTTTTCTCGTTTTAAAACCGAGTACACAAATCTAGTCGAAAGTAAATCGATTTTAATTTTATTAAAATAAATTAAATAATTGTTTTTTTTGCGTTTTTTACAATAATTGTAACTTAATATAAATGCTATGAGCATTTTGAACTCTTTTTCACTTATAATAAATTCGGTTTTAAAAGTTTCTCGGTTTTGAAACCGAATCGATTTACAGAACAGACAGGATAATAAAAAGTTAGCATTACTTCAAGTTCAGTTCTCTATAATAAATTCTAAAATAATTAAATTCATCTTAATGTTTACTGTTCATTTGGATCGTAATTTTAGTTCATAATTATAATTATCATCTTATTTTATCAATTTTACTTTTTTACTGTATAAAGGTAAACCAATATGGCTTAATTAAGCTTTTAGTTGTTTATTGGGAAAGTTAATTGACCAAAATTAATCGGATAACCGTACGACAGTTAATCGAGTATTTCATACTAATTTTAAATTTTGTATGACTTTTTTAATATTTTTTTTATTTTTATTAAATTTCAAATATACATTGAATATTAAATAAGATCAATAAATAGTATTCCAGCAAAGTAATACAAATCCGTTTTTATTAAATAATATCCTGTTAAGCTAGAAAGAAAATAAGATATTAATATTTCCTTAAATTTTACTATTTTCACAAATAAATCCATGCTTTTTATACATATACCGGAAAAACCAATATGGCTACATATAAAAAGGAAACAAAATCAAAAGAGAAAAAGAAAACAAAAACATCAACGGAGGTATGTTAATAAAAAGAAGATGTTTTTATGTACATACATATATTGCGTTTTAATTTTTCAATCAAATAATAAAACAACAAACCGCAACAGTAGCTAAATAAAACAAAAACTCCATCAAAAATGAAAACCAACAACCCCTATTAAAAATAAAGGAATTAAAGAGTAACAATTAGTAGTCGAGCATGTCCGACTTTATGATTGCCTATGATTTTCGGAAAGCTTAGTAAAAAATACTGATTTTAATAATTTAGAGTAATTTTTCGTAATGTTATCCAAAAAAATTGTCTGTTCGAACTTAAACTATAGTTTTAGTGCGAACAGGTACTATTAGAACGAATCTGAATGTAATTTAAGCCAATTGATAATTGCTCTCTGGTAGATATAATATACATACATCCTACTATAACGCTATAGGGTGTAACAATTATTATGAATGATTTTAGATAGAATGAAATGTATTTTTAAAAAATAACAATGCTAAATTTATCATGGTAATTTAAAATTTTGGCTAAAATTTACTAAAATCCGAACATTAAAAAAATAGAAAGCTTTTGAAAAACTTTTTTTTTTAATTTAAAACAATATATATTTAGATCTCCAAAACCCCATATTTTTCTGAAAAAATCATGGGCATTATCGGAATTTTACTCATATCTCCGTAATGTATGAACCAGTTTTCTTGATTTTCTAAACTTATTGAAAGCGTATCTGATAGAATTATTAAAGATTTGGATCCAACAGATATCTAAGGTCTTTAGAAAATTGATTTCAGCATAGATGCTGATAGAAGGAAATCTCCATCGATAATATCTATAAAGATTCGGAATATACATATACTTTATTTGGTCGGCAAAGTGGAAATTACAAAGTTATATATAACATGAATGTAACTGTTATCTGTTGGTGAATTTTAGAGAGGTTTAAAATAAATAATTTTCAATAAATTAAATTAAAAATCTATGTAAAAATTTTATAAATTTATTTTTTCTAAAATCCGACCATATATACATAACTTTGCGAAGGATACACTCTGCATATAATTTTTTATAAAAATCTTGTTTCGACCGATAACACAATAAGCATCAAAATAAATTAGTAAAACTTTATAATTTTTTATCAAAATTATAAATATTCTCGAAAGTTTCAAAAAGTAGTTTCTCATATTAAAATCAATGTATGCTGTAAATCCTGTATCTATTTATTCGCTTATATTTGTACACATCTCATTTATATTGAAGGCATTGCTGATACGAACGTACGATGTTCATATGTACATATGTGTATTAGAGTGTCCCGAAGAATAGCGTTTTTAAGAATCTCATGTAGGAATACTTCCCAATCGATGCGATAGTCAAAAGTACTCTAAAAAAATTTAATTATTTTTTCCGCGATAAGATCAAAATTACGAAATTTCTGAAACCCATTTCGAAAAGATTCCTGAATATTTTTATAACATATTGTACTTAGATCAAGATTTTCAATCGCTGACAGGGAACTGAGGCTCTTCCAAAAAAATATTTTGTCTTTAGTTTATTAAAAGGCATCGTTTAAATGGTCCACGGGACACCCTAATGTGTATATAAGACCCATACATAGTTGAGCGTAAGGTGGTTCCTTTAGCATGGAACTAGTGTTTATAAAAAACCGACTTTTGGAAAAACCGGTTAACCGGTTTATAAACTCTATAAGTGAATGTTCTAGCTAAACTTTTTCAAAATTTCAGTTTAAAAATTCTAAAGTGTTCTACAGCATTTGACATTGACTTGCGAAGAATAACCCCGTATTCATATAGATATTAATCGTTTATTTTTAGTTTATGAAGCACATTTTTCATACAAATCAATAACATTATTAAGCGTTTATGAAGACGGGGGTAAAACTTTATTACATTATATAGGACATTGGGAATTCTTATCTGAAACCAACCTAATGTATTATATACTTACATTCGAATATTACGATTGTGAGAGGGAACGTAATTTTTCTGAACTCTTGTTAAACGTTTTATGGCACAATAACAAAATTAAGTGCCTTTTGTTAACTTCACACTCAAGTTCACATATTTACATAAATATGTATATATACATATGTATGAATATGTGAATACATACTCATAAGTACTTATTTATACATAAAAATGCATAGCTGTTTAAGTAAATATTGTTATTAAGAGGGATTTTTTCTTTTTGTGTAAAGAAGGAAACTCTAACAAATTTCTACTCTCTTTCATTTTTCTCTCACAAGCGCAATGTTGCTAATTATAAAAATATTAAGATATCACTTTTTGGTTTCAAATTTATACCAGACATGGGAAATACGACGGAAAGATATACATACATATATTTGCCATTAATAAAAATCCCCTTAAAGGCCATTCTTCCGCGTTTAAAGCTCATATGTATTAATATCGGTATTCTTATAAAATTCGTTATAGCAATGTATGGTTTATGGTATCAGAAGCTTGGGCATTTTCACCTCATGTTAATCTATTTTTAGCTTTAGAGTTAATAAAATCAATTGGCAATAGTTATTGCTTACTCTTATTCGACAAATATATGTACATACAACTAATATTGTTATTAAAACTTGTTTACTCTCAAATTGTAATTAAAAATTTTAGTTAAGTATTAATGTACAACTCCTAAAACGTTGCGGCATAATTTTTAAAAATTGCGGCAAATATAAATCTCACTAAACCTGGCTACCGAAAAAAACATAGAATAGCAATTTGCTAAACCATTTTAATCTGCTTAATTTGTTTGTAAATTTCCAAAATATATACTGCGGTACAAGCACTCACTCGTATGTGTACATCAAGTCAAGTAGAATTAAAGCCTAACACTCTCTCGCATACAATAGACTACTAACTAGACTAAACTAAAGAGAATGTAAAAGGTTTTCACACTACATTTTTTTATTTGTGTATTCTTTTTTTCTTTCGGCAGGATAAAAGCTGCTTAGCTCAGTTATCAGCACGCGTTAATACAAAAGAATTCAAACATACCACAAACAATAACAACACAGATCATTGTATTGGAAACAACACATTTGCCCTCAAATGCAGGGATTTAAAAACAAACTCTCTCGCTCTCTTAGATGACAAAGGATATTTTATTTCCAACAACATTTAAGGACATTAAACAAAATAGGAAATAAATGTGGCTCCGCCTTGTTGAATGTGAGTGTTTGTATGGAGGTAAAAAACAACAGCAACAACAACATGACCAACCAACCTCTTCTCTTTCATTCATCAAACATCCACCAAAACGAGTTTCCAATTTGAATTTGTTTGTATTAACATTTCCCCTGCCGCAAAGACTGTATTGTATGGAAGGTAGCAAACATAACAAGCGTTTATTTATTAGAGGTACGTTACGTGTTGGCTTCTGTGCTAGAATTTTTGGGCTTTCATGTTTATTGCTACCTTTGCTTTAAGACAGAAAGTACGTTACGCGATTTTGGCGCTTGGAGTTAAACGGATTTAACGCGTTTTAACTAATGTTAAATAAATATCAAACGGCAAAAAATTAATTCATTTATGTATTAAGCGGTTAAATAATTTTCACATTAAAATAAAAAAGTAGTTTCAAGTGACAAATTACAATTTAAAACATCAATTAAGAATAGCTTTAAAGCTTCGCAGGCTTTTATAAATAAAATACTCATACATGAATGTTGATGTAAAAAAAAAATAAATAAATAAATAAATATAAATTTAAGAAATTAAAAAAGTTGATTATTATTTTTTTTATCAAAAGTGATTTTTCTGTGATTTTAAATAATTATCAAAATGAGATAAAATTTTAATAATTACAAGATAATAAAAGTTAATTTTCGATATTTCAAAAATTAAAATCAATATTGTTTTAATCAATTTTACTAACAAAAAAATACCATAAGAAAATGGACATTAAAACCACACCACCACCAAACCAAACCCCAAGTGGTACATCATCTAGTGTTACCAATATATCATCCTCACCACCCACAACACCGCCTTCGCCCATAACGGCAACATCCATAACCAGTTTATCCGATGTTCAAAAGCAAACATTTCAACATATTTTTGAAAAATTGGTTGTCAGTAGCGGCGGCAGCGCAAAAATACCACCAAAACAATATGAATACTTTCGAAATTTATTGGAAAATGTACGCGATCCCAAAAATTTGCAAATGATTGTGGAAAAGTTTAAAAATCTTGAGCAAATGGATACGAACTTTTCGCAAAATGGAATAAAAAATTCTATGATGACTGAAGGTAATTCATAACAACCAAATTTTTGATGCATATTTGAACTTTTAATATTGAAAGTAGTATGAGACAGACCTCTTGTTTTTAAAATGAGATATAAAAGGCTTTTTATTTTAATGTTTTTAAAAAATCTATGTGCTCGGGTAAGGGTAATTTACATGTAATTGTTTCAAAATGTAGACTTGTAGCGGGTATGCTGACAAAAGCTTAATTGTTTTTAAGATTTTTAAATTTACTATTTGTAGTATTAAACGATTCTATAAAATAGTACCTAACTTCATCCTTAACTCATTTTTTTTACGAAAGTGGACTCATACCAATTTTGGAATTTACTGTTTATTTATTGGAAATACGATGGAAAAATTTGAAGAAATGTTTTCATATGATAATAAATATATGTATGTAAATATATGGGCAATTCCATTGTTCCATTCAGAGAAAATATATGTTGAAAAAAAACATTCCAATCGGAACCTTGTTTTTCAAAATATGGAATTGCTAATTTGTAGATGCTTCTTATAAAACTCATAAAAAACATATTTATAGCAAATCTTATCATAATACTAGTGCATTATGAATGTTTAAGTGTTTTTAACATAATTATGAGCTAAAAAACTATATTTACGGGTCCGGTTGTATGGCGCTAGGTGTAATAATGGACCGATTTTAAATACATTCAACATCCATAAATTTGTGAATAATTTTGTTAAATTATCTTAAAAAATGCGAAAGTTTTACGGGTTTTATTTTTTCAGTCGTGGTTTACCTTTTCACGGCCAAATTTTAACATCGTACATTTGACCCAAGGTCCCATGCAAAGTTTGATTTCAGAAAAACACTTAAACTTATAAGCACTAGTATTATGACACAATTTAGCATAAATAAGTTTTATATAAATCCCACCTTCAAATTTTATGAGGATCGATCCATATTTGACCCTAGTTGCCATATAACACTTCCTTTTTTATTTTTATATAGATATATGTATGTGTGTCGGTCATGTCCGACTGCCCTTTCCAACTCCTTTCGATTTGTTTCAGTTTTTTTTTAATTGGACCAGCACTCAGGGGATGACCCCTACTTATGTGAAGCATTGTGTTGGAACTAGGTAAATAGGTTGTGGGAAGGAGGATAGAGGGAGTAGTGTTTGTGAACATTTGATTTAAATCTTCTTATATCGAAAGTGGCAGGGAATACCTCTGCAATATACGGGTATCGGGAACAAGTTCCCTAATTTCAAAGGAACACATTCCATTGTAGTATCGATAGAACAGTGAAATACACCCCACGTTGCGACGGTGCTCCAGTGAATCAATAGGGTTGGATACCCTACTGTCACCGATAAGTACCTTCGCCCTCTCCTGTACACGGTCGAGTAGCTCCAAAATAGACTTCGAAGCTCCGGCCTATACATGAGAGTTGTATTCCATTTTCGGTCGGATATAAGTGGTGTAAATAGTAATAAGATCAGATGGCGTGAAGTATGTCTTACACCGTTTCAAAAAACCGAGACACTTGAATGCTTCTTTCGACACTTGAAAAATGTGTTTAGTCCAGCGGTCATCGCACTGAATTTTCATGCCCAGAACATCAAGAGTTTTTGATTCCTTAATATTTACACCACCCATATACATATATAGATGGAACAACAATATCTGCCAAGCGTTTATGTGTTAAAAACAATATGAATATGTATATGTATTTACAAAATTAATATTTCATAACCTAACAAATGCAGGAAAAAACGATTATGACTTTTTCAAAGTATTCCTATTTTTACAAAATCTGTCGCACTCTGAAGGCGCACAAATGTCACATACGATAATATGTAAATACTAGAGCCCTGCATGAGTGACTTAAATAATAAATTAAAACATTTGATTTTTTTCAAACACTGTGTTTGACTCACTCATTGTTTTATGAATGAAATGAATAGTATATTTGAAAATAAGGAATGTTAGTCAATACTCAATTCAAACGAAACAAATAATGAGAGTGTTTGTGTGATTCAATTCAAGTAGTATACAGTGAGTGAATCGAGTGAAAGCAAAACAATTTTTAAGTTCGACAAATTAACAGATTTTTTGAATATTACTTCGAATTTTCGAACTTAATTTCGAATAGTCGAAGATAATATAGTAGCGTCATCAACTGTACTTAACACTGCCAAATTTCAGCCAATTTGGTCCACGGAAACTGGTTTTATCAGCTTTAAATTTTTTTCGAACATGAGTTCGAATTTTCGAAAATTTTTTTTTAGTTTTTTGGACCCAAAGAATAATTTAAAAGCATAAAAAATTTTTCGAACATAACTTCGAATTTTCGAACTTAATTTCGAATATTCGAACATAATATTATCTTGTCATCAATTGTACTCAAGACTACCAAATTTCAGCGAATTCGGGCCACAGGAACTAGTTTTAACAGCATTCAAAATTTTCACCATTTATTCAAGAAAAAGTTTGAATCGATTCATTCGATTCAAACAATCTATTTTGTATTGTTTTAACATAAACAAATTGTTTACTCGCTCGATTTGAATGTAGTTGCACATTCACTTGATAGAACTCACAACGTTTGAGTATAACAAAACTTTGTAAATACTATTCTAAACAAACAATGAGTTGAGTGCAAAGCAATGAGTCACTCATTGTGTGTAGCAAATAGAGTTACTCATGCAGGGCTCTAGTAAATACCCATCTAATAATCTATTGAATTAGATTATTTAGGTCTCAAATTTTATTTTTATATTTTCTTCTACTTAAAAAAGTTTAGTTAAAACTAAATTTGGCAGTAAATTCTATAAATAAACTTCCTGATAGCTAATAGCTATGTAAATATTAGAGGCAAAACCAAATACAAAACGTAAATTTTTATAGTCAATAATCCCTAAGATAAAAACATTCACGAGAGATCATTCATTTAATTTAAACCATTGGCCATGGAAATATTTTATATAGTCTACATTTCAGTTTTTGTAAATAGCTCCAAAAACGTTAAAATAAAAACAATTAGCTCGTATGATTACATACATATAAACAATACATGGACATACTTTCTATATTGAGGGATTATGGGGGGACTGTCCAGTAACGTTGGATTAAATGACAAAAAATTTAAACTGATTTAATTAACAGAAATTGCAAGTAAACACGCATTTGAATCAACAGCAAAAAAAAAAAATAAAATTAGACATACCACGCTACGTTTTCTTTGGGTCTAGACTCTAGAGCAACAATTGCAGCAACACGTGCATTATTTTACATGTTGTCAACAATGTTTATTAACGAAACATGAACATGAAGAAAAAAGCAACATTTTTTACAGTGAAATCATTTCAAAATTAAAACTAATTATATAGTAATTTTCATATAAAAGGACATTCGTACGTTTATGGAATGTAATTAAAATAACATGTAACTAACAATAATTACAAAAAATTGAAACGTTCTTTTGTTCACAAGGACGACTTTTATGAACTCTACTTTATCATAATCTGTGTGAATGCATTGGAATACACTTGACATAGATTACTTTGATGTTAAAACTTAAAGTTTGTGAATATTTCCAATACAATTAAAATAATTTCTAAATGAAAAGATATGCCAACTTCATATACGTAACAAACTCCACATCAATGTTACTTTCGTCACATATTTTTAGTAACATTTGTCGATTTTTTTTAATTTTCCCATTTAATAAAATTACATATTATGTTCTTTTGTAAATTTACAAACATGTGTTCGCATAAAATCATGCGCCCAATTAATTATAAAAGTAGAAAGAGGCAAAAGTTTATGGAAAATGACATTGTAATTTGAATAGTTTACTAATTTGCAGAAGATTGTCGTGTTTAAACATTTCGCAAAAATATATTTTTTTAATTTGTTTTCATTTATTCAAACTCAATTGATATGTTGTTTTAGTGTTCTGTTCTTATTGTAAATTAAATTTTAAAATATTTAGAAAAACAACTTTTTATTGCTTCTTTCTATTTGTGTTCAGATACAGATGGTACAATTAAGGATACTACACGCAGATATGCCAATACAAATCAAGCGATCACTCCTCGTCATACGATTGATGCAATTTTAGGTTTAAAAAATCGCCACCAAATGAATGACGGTAAGTGAAATATTAATATAATATTAATATTTTGAAAAATGGCATTTCATGTCAAGTGACCTAACTTAAAAAATCGATTTGGATGACGTTTACACCAAGGTTAGTACTATTGGAATAGGTCAGATTGAAGATTAACGGCCTACTATCCAATAGTACTAACCATGGTGTAAATTTCATCCAAATCGAGTTTTTAAGTTAGCCCACTTGACAAGAAATTCCCAATATGTATGTATATCCCAAAATAATTCATATTTGAGGTATAAAACTAAATTAATCCTTTTATGTAAAATTTCCCCTCTTTATTGGTATTTGATGTAAGTTATTAGTCTTACAACCATTTTCTGAATGGGACTTAAATGGGAAGTAGCGTCAATTATAGACCGAAAGTAATGAAAATTGATAGAGTGATACAACTATGGACCGAGCCTGATAAAATTTGAGAGATATTTTAGTTCTTATTTATGTCGACTTTTGTTGCTATAAAGCAATTTTCTGAGAGGAATATATGGGGGGGGGGGGGAAGGATCAATTAGGGGCCGATCCACTTAAGATTTCACAAAAACAAAACTTGTTTATGTAAAATTTCATCACTATACATTAGACCGACTCACTTTATATGGAAAGCAAAAACGTGTTTTTGTTACCCCTCTCAAAATTTACCTTGCTTTGTTTTATAATGATTCCCAAAATATTTTAGGTCTAGCTGGACCAAATTTAAAAAAGGTATTTTTGAATTATTTTTTAAATTTTAGTTTTGTTTTGAAACAATATATCCAATATGGGGTATCGTTTGAAAGGGTTTTAAAGCCGCGTCCAATGATGTATTAATCATAAATAAGCGTAAAATTTTGCACACCACTGGACGTGGCTTCAAAAAACCTTTCAAATGATACCACATCGTATATTTTGTTTAAGAAAAAACTGTAAAATTTTAAAAAATAACTAAAAAGGGACTTTTTTGTAACCGGTCCAGCTCGCGAACGGGTAGAAATATTGTCGGAACCATCATAAAACAAAACAAAGAATTTTTGGAGCTGGGTAAAATATTGAATTGAACATGAAAAATCGTGTTCCCCATAAGATATTTTCTTGAAAAATGTCCAGCTCACGAACGGACAACACTGAATCCAAAATAACGGCGAATATTTTGAGGGGGGTAACTCAAGCATCATTTTTTGTGAGTCGGTCTTCTGAAGAGGTCCTTATATGGAGGCCAGGTGAAATCGCGGACCTATACTGCCCATTTTCAGTACCAAACAACATCAACCAAAAACATTTTGGCAAAATTTCATCTCTCAAGCGTGTTCCGTTTGGACTCATGTTTTCAAAAGAATGACAAAACCAATATCCCCCCATATTTTTTGATGGTGTGTATAAAAATCTTACATGCTTTCTGATGACGATTTTCTCTTGAACTTTGCCAACCCTGTTAAAAACGAAAAAGTGTATAAAGTGCATATATTCGGAATCTTATACATAGAGCAGTTAATTCATCGAGTTATCCTGTCTGTATTTTTATTGAAAACAATTTTCTGAGGACCCCATATTCTAATCTCAAATTATTCTATAAGGCATGCTTTCAAGATTTTTTCTGTTTCAAAATCGGCCCATAAGTATCGGAATATTTTTAATAAATTTTACCAAGGCAAAAAAATTAATAAAAAATTCAATTCGATAGAAATTTTCACCGAATAAATAAGTAAAAAAAACTTTTTTAAAGTTGTAATTCATTCTTTCACGATCGCTACGCCTCTGATCAATGTTCAATTAATCTGCATTAATAACCACTTAAAACTTATTAAGTGCTTACAAATGTATTTAATAATATCAAAAGTCAAACAAGGCTTATTAAACTGTCAATCAAACAAATAAATAAAATACAACATAAACAACAACAAAGAAAAAAATGTATTAATGAATTGAATCGTTCAATAAACCACGTTTAAAACTGTTTTTTCACGTTTAATGTTGTGTGGTGTAGTGTATTGAAACCAATTAGTAGCGCTCTATAGTGGGCTTAATTTATAACATAAGTTATGAAAACCTCAAAAGAATACAAACAGAAAGACACTGATGAAGATGATGATGATGATGAAGACGAAGAAATTAAGAAAGAAAATGCATTTATCATGACTTTAACAATGTTTGTGGAAGATACTTACTCGCTAATTCGTACAGGCAGATAGAAAATAAATCAAACTTCTAGCGAAGAGCACTAGACAAACTTTCATAACAAGTACATTCATGTGTGTTTGTGGATTTTTTTTAATCCTAAAAGATATTCTGTAAAGATTTTGCCGGTAACTACTAATGGACTTGTAGCCCGACAACCTTTAGCTGTCATTTTAAAATGATATTTGACAGCTTCTAAACCACTCAATGTATTCCTACGAACATTAAAATTAGTAGTAGTAGTGGTTGCTGTTTAATATTCGTAAATGAATGAAATGAATTTGCAAGATTGGTTTATTGTTTATGTTGTTATTTAACGTCAATTATTTCTCTTTGTTATTTCTTAACAACTAATTCAATTAGTGGAAGTATTTTTTTCTTAAATTATAGCAGAAAATGAAATTAATTAAATACATTTCAAAATATTCTACTCTACAAAATTTTACACAATCACATATGCGGTAATTCGGCACCTGATTTACAATTTATAAATTCATTCAATCCTGTATCAATCTTTTGTATGAGTTGTTATGTTGGTCTTGTCATTTTACATCAACTGTTTATTACATACATATGTACATATATATGTAATACTTTTATTACTATATGATATTTTTAAAAATGCTGTTCCTGCTGATGTGCATTAGATGTGCCAAAAATTATCGATTTTTTGCACCTCTCATTTGGATGGGTCTTTTTTGTTCATTGGTCTCTAAAACTAACTTTCGTCAGTTAAAACTCGAAACATTGATTATTTCCTCAAAACTTAACACTTTTTTTAGCATGTTTTTCTGGACTTAGACGGCCTCTAAAACTAACTGTCATCAGTTAAAACTCTAAACATTGATATTTTTTTCCTAAAAAATTTAACTCTTTTTTAGCATTTTTTTCTGGACTTAGACGGCCTAAATAAAGAACCCCATAAAGTTTTTATATCATGAGTAAAATCACTGTAAACTAGTGTAAGCACTTAGCAGAGATTCTAATAAAATTTATTATTATTTTTAATATAAAAAAATAATAGAAAAATTTTTTTTGGAAAGTGGACTCATACAACTTTCAAAATTAACGATTCATATATGTATATAAACTGTAATAATTACATTTTTATTTATAAAAATGAAACGAAATTAATTTTGACGCGCCAAAGTAATAAACCACTTTTAGAAAACACCTTCATTTACTAAATAAGTAGGCGTATTATTCCCCCTAAAAAATAAATAAAATTTTATCTAATCGCTAGCTAAAATCAAATTAATATCAATTCAACTTACTCTTGCTTTAATAAAATCCCACAAAACGACATTATTCGAGTGACGTGACATCTCACTATGGCACCATGTCGGTGGCTTATTTCCCTTTTTCTGTTGTTGAACAACAAGACAATATTTGAATATAATTCATTTAAATAAACATTTTTATTGCAACCACATAAATACAAAAAAAAAACTTACAAAGAAAGCTAAAATAAACTTAAATTGCCTTTTAAAAAGAATCCATAAAAACCGCCCATTACAAACACTTTTCTGCAAATCCCCCATAAATGTTGCATTCTTTATATTAAACAGATAGTTAGTTGGATGTATGTATGTATGTACATGCATATTTATGTATGTATGTAAATACATTAAAGGATAATCCTTAATCCATTTCGTTAACAAAACATTTTTATTTCTTATCTTTGTTTAAAAATCATTAAAACAGTTTTGTTAGTTTAATGTTGCTTTGGAAATATTTTTTTTCCAATTTTTAAAAAGCTGCAGTCGATATAAATAATAATTGTATGTTTGTGTTATTAAAATAAAACATCTTAAATCGACTTAAACAAAATTACACATTCTATTTATTTTATACAAGTTTATTGAAAATTTGAAATCGGTTGCGAGATTTGAATGTTCTAAGCAATATGTGCAAAAATTTTAATGTTTTTTTTGCAATATGTGCAATTTTATGTCAAGTGACCCAACTCAAAAAAGGTTAGTACTATTGGATAGTAGTAGTAACAATGAATTGATAGCTTTCTGAACTAGGACCAATAGGTGAAAAGTTATATTAATTTCAATAAAACCCTGTATGACCAAAATGTCCAACTTTGACCCCCTCTAAATCCGGCAGTTCTTGACCGATAGAGATGAAAATTTGTGCTCGTACTAACCGTGGTGTATTTCATACAAATCGGAAGACAGTGACAGAAGACATTTTAAAAGACATTTAAAAAGGGTCACTTGAAACGAAATTGTCCATATGTATACGAATTGATTGTTTTCATTCGAAAATACAATACGTATTAGTTAAAACAGAAATCAGAAACGAGATAAACTTAAATAAGCATTTAGACAAAAAATATTTAAAAATAATAAACAAATATATTTTCTTTTTCAAAGAAATCCTAATGAGAATATTTAAATCATAACCAAATATTTTAGCTTGTTAGAGCTCAATCAGTATAGATTTTTTTTTCATGTTTTTATAACCTGTTAAAGTCATAATTGAAATTCAGTTTTTGAAGGAAAATGCACAAGATATTCCTTGTTTTTATGCCTTATTTATATGTATTTTTTAAAAGGCAATCAGTTACAAATCAGCGAAAATTGTGGCAAGAAAGAATTATATAAATTGTGTTTTTCCTTATCAGTTTATAATCTTAAACATGAAACTTGTATGATTATGATTACGTGACATTTGTGAGTTTTACTTCTATACTCGTATTAAACTTGTAGCAATTTAGCACATTAGATCCTTTACTATTACGAATATACATATGTACATACATTCTACTTATATTTTTTGTTTTTTTTTTTACTATTTATTCTAACTGGTTTACTAAATATACCGACAATTTAGTTTGTTTGTAAAACATTTGTCATCAAGAAAAGTAATTCGGCTGGTAGTGTAATGTCAAAATAATTGCTTGTAATGAATGGTTACAAATTGATTAAATCTAGATGGGGGAAGAAGTACTTGCGACACTATACCATTGGACGTTTGCAACATGGTTGCATTAGAGTAATAAATTTCGTTTTTAATATCCCAATGAGAATATAATATAGTAAGTGTTATTGGTAGCTGAATAAATAATGCCACATTTGCAAATATCACATAAAACGTTGACCCAAAGAACTTTTGCAAAAAAATAAAAAATTAATTCACACCATGATTTTTATTGAAATTAGCTTCTGCATTAAAATTCAATAACTCATTTTCAACACACTGCCGTTTTTTATTTCTGCTAAATGGCATATACATACCTACATACATATGTACATATGTAGTATGTATACATATATATTTTTTTTAATTTATTATTAAACTCAGCAGGTTATGGCTTAGCAAATTAAATGCTTTAATAATATAATTAACAAAATAATAAAAAAAGTGCAAAATAAAAACACTATTAATAAAGATGTGAAAAAGTGTATAAGTAGGAAAAAATAAAGATAAAACAAATTAAGTAGCTCACCTGGAAGCTTTAACCTAAAAAATAGGCGCAACTAATTTGTTAAAAGCCCACACGCACACAGGTTGATGAACAGCTGTATATAAAAACAGATTTTATTCCAAAAATAAAAACTAAATGTACATTTACCAATTAACAAAATATGAAATACATTTATTAATGATATTTGAATTACAAAAAAAATGAATGAACAAGATACAACGAGCACTTAAAGCATTAAGAAATTGGATCAAACAAATTAAGAAATAAACCTTTCTTTCTTTCACCGATATGTATTTGCCTTTTAAGTTTAAGACATTCAGTTAATTATCTGTTTAAAGAAAATAGATTAAACCAAAATTACAATTCGGCTCTTTAGATAAAGATCAAATTCAAAATATAGTCTTGTTAAATGACATGTTTAGATACTTTGAACAAAATTGTTTCTGTTTTAAGTATATTTTTCCTTTACAAAAAAAAAAAATAAAAAACAATTACAATGAAAAATATTTTACTCGCTGCAACAAATATTCTTTCTTAAACGCCTTTTAATTTGACATTAATCGTGTCAAAATGATGATTTGACACATCTAAACACATTTTGCTCTTTCTCTTTAGCTCCATTTTCAAACAACGTCTCTCATCTCAGACTTTTTAAAAAGTGACAGTAATCCAGATACTGGTCTCCGATGCTGTTCGTATATTGCATTATCATTAAGAAAAAAATTATACAGAAATCTTGATGTTGATGATGATAATTCTTTATAAAAACCAAAATTTATTAAAGAAAATTAAGTGGCGGCACACTTAATTGAAATGTTATTAGTTGGTAATACGCGTACTTCGTAAACATTTTATGAATACAGACAAAGGGACAATATATGAATGACCTTTGGAAAATTAAAGTTGTATAGTCATGCTTCTTTAATGGACAGTAAAATAGTTTATATAACCAATAATTTCATAAAGAATAACAACAACATGATTATAAAACATAAAATTCTGTATATTTTTGAAGAAGCATAAAATATTTTGTTTCCTTAATTGGGGTATTTATAGAGTCTTTCCAGAAAAGATCGTAGAGTTAAAAATGTTTAAGACAAGTGTTGGTGTTACTTGAAAACAAATATAAATTGTACAATAGAATAAAGTAATATTTGTTAATTTATGGGGAATTTCGTGTCAAGTGACCCAACTTTAAAAATCATTGTCTTCTGATTTGGATGAATCGGTCAAGAACTACCGGACTTAGAGGAAGAAAAAGCTATCTGAAAGGAAATTGTAAAAGCTTTATTTTAAGCAAAAAAAGGGCCTAATTTGAAAAAAAAAAATAAAAAAATTAAAAAAAGTTTTTTTTTTTTTTTTGGAAAGAATGAAGAAAAAAGCTATATGAACTCCTTTGGACCAATAGGTGAAAAGTTACACTCATTTGAACAAAACCTTGTATCACCAAAAAGTCCGACTTTGACCTCCTCTAAATCCGGAAGTTCTTGACCGATAGAGCTGAAAATTTGTGTCCTACTAGCCTTGACATGAAATTCCCCTTATATATTACAATACAATTACAAATTATATTCTAACCTAATTAACGGAAGAATATATGCCATTTACATATACAGAACAAACATGTGGGATTCGAACTTACAACCTCCAGATTGAAATATAAACTTTCGGGATACCAAACAGTTTATCTTCTGTTTTAATAAGTTTGTAACTGACAGATATTCTTATATTTATTTTAATATCATTCATTCCGTAATAAAACCCCATTCCACAATATACATGGAGTATCGGGTCTCTTTGGTGGTTTTATTTCCCGCTATACCGTAGTGCCTAAACATTACATGATAAATAGGAAAAATAATTTAACTATGAATTAAATGTTTCCCTGTAACCACCGGTATTAATTATATAAAATTATTTAATAGACTTGTAAAAAGTCACATTTTAGTCGCAACTACATACATTACGTCAAATCAATAAAATTTAATTAATTCTAGTTGAAAAAAAAAACAGTTATCAAAAATATTTCTAGAGGTGTAATAGAAAAAAATATATACAATTCCCAATAATTGTTGTACTAATAGTCGTTGTTGTTATTGGTGTTATTTTCATATTTGCCGTTGTTATTGTAGTTGTTTTTGTATAAACCATTACAATCGTACATCATCATCAAAATGCAATTACTCAACACAACATAATTATACATTTTTCAAACTATTAATTGGATTCGAAGTTAAACAATGTAATTGCATTCATTGTTTAAATGGAATGAAATGAATTGAAATTGTGCACTAATATGAATCAAACAAATGTAATAAACAAGGACCTCGAATTGTCAGACGACACACAAACACAGCCAACATATGACTATAATATGACCACAAATTGATTACAACTGGAAAAAGTCAATTTGTTGCCGGGTTTTAGGCACTTTTACTCGAACAACTAACAATAGCTTTCACTCCTTCGATAAATACATACATAGATGGGCGGCATGGGATGGGAGGGAAATCGTTTGGAATGTATTTGTCGAACAAGTGTACAATTATCCTTTTTAGTTTTTAGTCATTTCATAGTGATATCATTAACACCACCCAAACAACCCACTTTATTTAACTCAACTTTCGGTTAGTTAGCTTTTCGTTCATTACGAATAAATTTTTGTAACGTGTACCTAATATTCTGTTTAAGAGAGTCTAATGACTTTCTTGCATGTCACATGATACTTTTGTATTGTTTTCGTTCTTTACTCTAACTTTGGCAAATAGTTAAAGCATATTGCTCAATAAAATTAAATGATTTCTTTTTATTCCTTCGTCGTCGTTGTGGTTGTTGTTTTTGTTTATTTTGGTTTTGATAGTCTCATGAGTTAATTCGTTATTTCGAGTTCAGTTTAAAGTCTATTCAGCAGGCGTTTTAAAAATTTTTATTATGCCACATTGTAAATATAAAACGGCGTCTAATTGAAAGTCATTTAGGTTTTGTATACCACAAACAGGAGCCCAACCAATACCGACTCGTTGTCACAGTACTATCTGTTAAAAGGGAAACAATTTTGTATGTTCATTGAAGTCAACGGATAAAAGAACTTGGAAAAATGTTTTATTTTGCTTTTTTGACTTTTATTTTATATAATTCAAATCTGATTCGCGTGTTGTAGGGTGAATGTTAACACTAGATTGCTTAGCATTTAATGCTCAACATACGATTATGTTTTAATTTAAAAATAATACTATGATTACTACACGTTATAAATATTTCGTGGTTAATTAAATTGTATTTAATTATTAGGTGTTTTATACTTGATTATTACATGCAAATACATTGATTCAAATTAGACAGACAATCACTTAAATTGATTGAATGATAATAATTACATATATAAATATGTATAAATCTATAATCAAATTCAAACTCTAAGATTTTCGATGTAGAAAACTAATATACAACAAATATGTTTTATTCCTAAATCACAACAGGTGATTGTGATGACGCCACCGATTTGCGTTGTAACAAAACGTTGGCACAACTACGCAACATGGACAATCATATGGTCACGTTAATGCAACAGCAACGTCATAATTCTTCATATTCCCTGCCTTCACCTAACGGTCAAATGCACCAAAGTAATATGTCATCTATGAATTTACCTCCACCTTCTACTCATCCGCAACATGGTCAACATAGTCATCTTGGCTATCATAATACGTTAATGAATTTCCAACAGCAGCAACAACAACATAATTTTCATGCTGCCACTAACCACGTACTATCATATAGCAATCTTCAAGATACCACCGATATGAACGACAGTCGTATTAGTCCGTCCATGAATAGTAGTGATTATTTAAATTCAATGCATCAAATGGTCGAAGCCAACAATTTAAACCAATTGCACCACAACAATGACATGAGTCCACATGCTAACATGACGACTCAATCACAAATCCAACCACCACCAGCGACATCGGCAATTATGAATTCTGGTGTCTATCATAGTCATCAACAACATTTGGCTGCCTTAGCTGCACATGCCCAAGCCCAAGCGCAGCATGATCAAAAGTTTGCCAAGTCATCGTCATTATCCTCAACAACATCAACTGCAGCAGCAACAACCACAGCAGCGGCTGCTGCATCATTAGTGGCATCAACAATGGCTAATCAAATGACGGCTTCTTCTACGTATTTTTCCAATAATGGCGCCTCCAATCTTGTACATAATCTCAACGATTATGACGAGCGTTCGTTGTCCTCTATGTCCAATGGAGGGGATATTGATGCCGTTACTGAAGATGAGGATGAAGCGAAGGACCCCAATGATACACACAACATCGATGTAACATCTTCACCACAACACACAGGGTTTGGCAATGGCTCTGGACTAAAACGAAAGTTAACTTCAAATTCTTCTTCTTACTGTGATGACTTAAATACAATCAACAACATCAATACAAATGACGATAGAACTAGCGAGTGCCTAAGCAAAAATCTAATGAATAGCAACGGCGGTGCCGGGGATAATTATTTGCTGAAGACTCAATTCGAAGGAGGAGTGAGACCGCGATCATTGGAAGACATGCAGAAACAAAATTTTATGTCGCTTAATGGGAATTCAACTATGGAACACAATCTTAGCGGTCAGTCTCAACAACAACAACAGCAACAAAAGCACTTGGACGATTATAACAGATTACACCACATAAGTGGGGGAGGCAGTGTGGGACCAGCCGGGGACCAACAGGATCGGCTTAACGACAACGATAGTGTCATGAATGGCAGTTGTGCATCAAGTGAAGATCTTAATCAAACAAATTCCAGTGAACAGGGTGAAAAAATTACTTCCGGCAGTGATGATGAAGGTAAGAATATCCGAACACGATCTAAATTAAATACCATTCATGTTGAAAAACAACCCTTTTATTTTATTTCGTTATAGGACAAGATGACAATTGTTCAAAAAAGAAACATCGACGCAATCGTACAACCTTTACAACATATCAATTGCATGAATTGGAAAGAGCCTTTGAAAAATCGCACTATCCCGATGTATATTCCCGCGAAGAGTTAGCCATGAAGGTTAATTTACCTGAAGTTAGAGTACAGGTGAGTTGGGCAAAAATTCTTTTCAAATTCATACATACGCATACCGTAGCAAAAACACATTAGTGGGCGCAAGCAAAATAAAAAGTGTGAATAAAATACAACGGTTTCAAATTCAAAACAAAAAACGGAAATTAAATAATTTCCGTTAACAATTTATTTTCACAATGAAATTAAGTTCAATCAAGTTAAATTAGGTGTTGCATAAAAGTAACAAATAAATTTGTATATAGATACAAAATAATACACATACGTATTTTACGTACTTGTGTATATGAAATACTCCTAGAAGGTAAGGCAAATATCAGACGTAATTCAAAACTTTGAAAAAACTAAAAATTCCGTTAATTTTCTGTTTAAAAATAAAATCACATTTAGTTGATTTATAAATAAAATATTGTCGTCAAACATTTACTTTTCATATCCCCTTTCAACATTTTTACGCAAATACTTTAAGTTGTGAAAAGTTGAAATAAATAAGAAACCTAAAAACTTTTTTCTAGAAGGAAAAAACTCTCAATTTAAAGGAAAACATAGTTTATGGCAAATAAAGGAGGATTATATGACTATGTATATTAAATTTAATTTTTTTTTTGAACTGCAGACCTTTTATATCAACACAAAAAAGTGGGTGCTTGATAGTATAGTCGAAGTCGATAGTCGAAAATGTATCCTTAATGCTGTTGTGTTAAAAAATCTTTAAATTCGATTATTTAAATTGTCACATACTTTTCAGAAATATCAAGTGATTTATTTTTCATTGTATCTTAAGTTCTTCGAGTATACAAAATAACGTTATAGTAAAAAGAAACTCAAATAGACAAAAATTTACTTTAGCGGTTTTAACATACATAAATACTATCAAATTTCGTGATTTGACAAATCATTTTTATTGACTAAACATTATCATGCCAAAGTAACAGCCGAAAACATACAAATTTTAACAATACAATAATAACAACTCTTAGTAAAATTATATTCAGGGTTGTTTTCACAACACATTCATACATACTTTTGTGGAGTGTAATTTTAACTAAAATGAATTAAGTAGTATAAATGTAATAAATCAATTTTCAAGTTTGGCAAATTTATAAAATTAAATAGATTTGTACCGCCTTATTCATAAACTTTTATGAAAGGTTTATAAATCAAATTTTCATACAAAATTTGTTCTATAAACCTTTAATAAATTGTTATGAATAAGGCTTTAAAGTTTAAAATCAAATGTAATTTTAATCCCTGTTAACTCCACCTCCCGTTATCGTTTAACCTGTAGATTTACTGCGGTTAAAATATTTTTCATATAAAAAATGTCAATTTAACCTTACGATAAAATATAACCAGACATTGAGATAATGGGGGTATGAAATTAAAAATTTAAGCATTTTTATAAAACTACTTTAATATTTTGATCTAAAATACAGTAAATTTTTAAACCTGGTTTTAGTAAATTGTCATCTGCAGTATGGAAATAAATAACAGGGTACAAACGGTTCAATCCACCACACAATTTCCAATGACAATGTAATATAATAAAAGGGTAAATAAAATACCACAACAATATAAAAAAAAACACACACGAAAATATCGTTGTCTGCAAATATTTTGTGTGAATATTGTCAAATTCTATAAAGGAAAGTACGAAAAATATGTATGTATGCAAACAAAATTTTGAATAGAATGATGAACCACCACCCACCCACCTGCTCTTAATCGTATATGAAGTCTAAACATGCACAAAATATTCATAATAAAAGTATAAATTTGAATTTGATTTCGATTTTTTCTTGCCTCATTTTTGTTGTTTTGCATAAATTTACCTTATCAAAGATTTTTATTTGGCATTATTATGGTACAGCCCTTAAATGTCACTTTGTCAAATTGACGCTAAATTCAAATTATTTCAAAATATTTTTGGTGCCGAAGAAAGTGGGCAATATCTGTCTCTGTGTCTGTGGAATTTTCATAGAAGTTTCAAATAGTTTTATAGTATTATTCTTTGAAATTATAACTTTATTACATTATTTTGTTTCTGGTGTTTTGTAATCGATTCAATAGATTTGTTAAATGTTTGTTTAAAAAGTTTTGATTGGTTTTTATTCATTATTACTTAGAGGAAATTAGTTTGCAATAAAAATTATATTGTTCATTGAAATCATGACTAATTGGGAGAATATAACGTAAATAGGATATCTCAAATTGGAACTTGGCAAGACAACACTGATTCTATGACACGAGATTTACTATTATGAATATGTATTTTGGTATATGTCCTTCTGTATGTGTACTTTAGAGGTACTAAAAAGTATAAATTTTCCATATTTTCCAATTTTGAAACTTTTTTTTCAGATTTTTTTAAAACTAAACTAATGTTATTTAAATTGTATTTTTAATCTTTTCCAAAAAATATTATCTTTAAGAGAAAATTATCTTTTCAATAAAGTATTAAACATTTGTCGATTCCTCTAGAAGATATTAAAGAAGTAATGCAAAACTCTGCTATTATATACTTAGAAATAATAAATTTAACACCAGTTAGTTTTAGACACTAATAAACTATACAGATCCATCCAGGAAAATTAAATTTTGTATGTCATCGATGGCCTTTAATTTGTTTGATCAGTTTTATTATTAAAATTCGGTGCAACAAATGTTTGCATCTATGATCATAAATCCAAATTAAAATAAAAGAAAAACATTTAATATACCATGTCGACCATTGATTGAAATGTTCCCTTTTTAATCGAAATGTCGCTACAACAATAACAGTTGTGATAATAAAATAATAATAACAACAATAATGATAACATTAATCTTGAAATTATGCGCTAGATTATCATAATACAACATTTGACACTTGGCAAATTAAATGCCAACCGAAAAAATAACTGAAACAAATAAAAAGTTTGTGTTGTTTTAGTCGGTTGTTGTTGTTTTTTTTTTTTTTTGGTTTGTAGTTTTGCCACAAATAAGTAACGAGGAAACTTTTATGATGAGAAAGGAAACACATGTTTGTTGCAACTGAAAATGGCAACGTTGTGGTAATAAATGACAATTATTTTATTGAGATTAAAAGACTAAAACCAAAACACAACAAAATCCCTGAAAGAGAGCAAAAGGATACGTAGAGGAGATAGAGAGAAAGAGACAAATATTCCCACAAGGGTTAAAAAAGAGCAATTGTTTATAGAAGAATCATCACAGAAGAGACAGCGGATGATGACATTAAGGAAAAATCTGCAAAACTAAGGGGTGGCAAAATAATGATTTTTGTATTCCACATACTATTAGTTGTCTATTGTTGTTGTAGTTTTTATACGGACTGAATGGGAAAAGAAAAAAACTAGACTTAATGTTGGAAGACTTTTTGTTGTTGTTCTCTGGTCGTTCGTGGCATAAACTGAAGTGGCATGTAGCAGCATCTGTAAAGTGTTTGAAAACACCTAATCATACGCTGGATTAAGCACAATCATTGAAGAAAATTACAATTTACAATGTGTATGAAGAATGGAAAATAAAAGAACCAAAAAAACCTAGTAGAGTGTGGATGGAGTCGAAGTGTTCCTGGATGAAGATGTATGTATGTACGTCTACTTGAATGTGTTTATGGTTAAAAGGGAGTTTTATTTAGCTTTACACGAAGAAGTAGTAGTGTGTACGTACGTACGTACGTTTATTTATGCTTGTTATAAATAATCGTTGTGTTTGTACATTGTTGTAGTTCTTGTTATTGTTGCTGCCACAAGAAGGGTTAATTAAAATGTAATTTAGTGTAAAAGCAGAGTAAATTGTAGAGTAAATCAAATAGAAAAGAAATTCATTTAATTCACATACAACAGAAAACTGTCTAATAGAAATTGATTAAGTTTAACAAATTTTGATTGATTGATTCTTTTGATTCCTTTCTACGAATTTAAGTGCCACTACAAAGATTGAGTTATAATAGGAAAAAAGGATTAAATAATTTCAAACAATGGGATTTAGTAATGATTTTTTTATTCTACATACTTATAGTTGTATGTATAACTTTATGTAAAACAAGTTAGAGATTATGGTTGGCCGACTGTATGATGCCCCACTTTGTTAGCTTCCAGTGCCCAATTAAAGATTGATTCTGATAAAATAACTTGATCTAAAATAACGATTAACTTCTTTACATGTTGTGAAGAACTATGTCCAAATTTGGACAGATCCCTAAAAAAAGTTCAATTTTGTTTCTATCCTATATCAAGAACTTATTTCTTATTAATTTTGAATTACTTAAATTACATATATATTTGAACCATTTATTTTGAAATTAGTATGGGTCCACTTGCTATACCCACTATCAAAAAAGATGGGAGTATATTGATTTTGTCATTTCGTTTGTAACACATCGAAATACTGATATATAAATTATGGATCCTAAATAAATTCTATGACGATCTAGCCTTGTCCGTATGATGAATGCATGATAGAGTCCGAAATTTTATAATATTCCTTATTGTTTATAATATTCCTGTTTGTTTTGTATTGAAAATGGGCAATATCGGTCCACGTTTTCGCATAGCCTCCATACAAGTTACCTCCGCAGTCATAACTGTTTTAAAAATATGAGTATAGTGATGAAATTCGACATAAGCCTCTTACGACCCAAAATCTTCCCACCGAATTTTATAAGGATCGGTCCATAATCTACATTACCACCATATAAGGTCCTCCTTAAGAAAATTACTTTAACGCTCATAACTGTGGCAATGAAATTCGAGATAAACAAAAAATATATATATTTTGTTTTTAAAAATGAATTGTTAATTCGAAAGAGCTTGGTCCATAATTGACTTAAGCACATTCCTTTTACGGCATTATTGTTGTTTTATTGTACATGAGTCTGTACAATAAATTATTGTAGTATTATTGAAAATTGCCAACTTTTTGAGTTAATGGAATAAATGTCAAGTAAAAGGTAGTAAAAATGATAAAAATTCTCGATTAACCGATCAATTTTAAATTAAACGATTATG